GTAAGCGTTGAGGACGTCATGATCATGCTACAGTCCCTCGAATGCGTAAGTAAGCGATTGGAAAAGGGTAGTGATATCGGCGGTCTTTGACTCGAGTATGCTTTGCATTGTTGTGCGTATGACCGGCGTGGTACCCTTGGGGAAGCGAAGGATCGGACCACCTAGGCTAGACCTATGGCGTCCCTCGATTACGTGCAGCAGGTGTAGGCTGAGCTCGATAAGAGACCTTTGTCCGTAGACAGTGCTCATCTAGGGGGTGGGTAGCAATCCCACTTTATAATCCGAAACCGCTGTCGGGGCGTTCCCGAAAGTTTCTACGCTGGAGGAGCCTCTACACTCAGAGAGATAGAGTCGCCTTCTCTATCTAGGGAGTACGCGAGGGGGGGGACGGGCTGATGTATTTCGGCCCGTTAGCCCCTTGCGTGCGGCGTACGACCTGACGCACAATGCAGGCCCGACCATTCGGAGTGGACAAGCGGAGAGCGTGGCTACTGACCCTTAGGGGCCGGGACACCAATACACCAATGTTGCGGCGGTAACACTTTTCCGTCGTATGCGGAGGTGCGTCAGCTCTTATCTTGAGAATCAAAACGTCCGATAAGGCCGTATAGGCTAGGTGCGGACGTTAAAGATCCTCTTGTCTTGTTGACGATGAGTAATCGGGAACCCAAGGTCCTGGTTATGTGTGGTGATTGTGACCGTTAGTCGTTGATTATTCGGAAATGGATGCGGTCTGGTGTTATGTAGGTTTCAGAAAAACATTTTCTGTATAGTGCCAACGTTTCGATCTTTATTGAGATCATCTTCAGGTTGTTGTGTGTTCGTTTTCTGCGTAATTGTGCCATTCTTGTGTGTCGTGTTGAGAGTGGTACTTGGGTGTCCTGGTTATTGCAGAGACACGCTGGGCTGTCTATAATTCCAAGTCCGTGCTAAATATTCTAGGTTGCAGTCATGTCTGGGGAATGGAGGTATTCGATTAGTTCAACTTAATCTCGTGAGCCAATCGGGACCAAAATTGGTCAAAATATGTAGAAATACTTTCTGAAAATAACGAAATATCAAAAATCACCAAAAACTTCGACAAAGTATGTATTTTTACCGGTTTTTCGAGTTTCACCTACCTCGTATGACCTGGGTCAGTTTAAAATCATTCATCTAAGTTAGGTGCAATAAGCTGTTAATCGTTGGAAAGAAGAGTTTAGTTTGTCTTCCTTTTTGCGTATTTTTTCAGTTTTCCTTCCATTTTTCTTCGATGATGATTTTCTGTAATGCTGATTTGAAAAGGAGTTTCGGACTAAACGTTGCTTCCTTTGCTAGTTATCGACTTCTTCATTCTTTTCTCCCCCACTTGTGCTTTGATCCACATCAGGTTTACTTTCCATCCTCTATCATTCAGGAACCTAAGAGATTTCCTTACCTTTTCATCTATCTCTGGCAAAAAGGAGGGAAAATTCGAAAGGTAGGTTGAGATGGGAAGTTGGTGTCCGAATGGATCGAGATCACTATAGCTCAAGTGGTAGAGCAGCAGCGTATTTAGTCGAAGGTCGTTGGTTCGAATCCCGCTCGTGACACTCACTTTTTCATTTCAACCAATACCTTACATAAAGATTAATTAATTGAAAGGAGTTATTTGGTCAATCGGACTACGATACATAATAGATTTATAATTAATTTTCAGTTTTCAATTTTTTTTTTAATATTCAGTTTATGAAAGAGCAGACTTTGAAAAATTGGTCGTCCCGGACAATAAATTGCTGTTAATTCTTAAAAATTTAAGTAATAATTTCTCTTCATAAAGCGTAGTTAAACGTTAGTGTAAATGACTTAGATGGTGTGTTGCAGTCTTTTTTTTAATGGTGTTTTGAACTTGGCATATTTATTTATTTATTTACGGATCGAAATCCACTATAAAAAAAGACATTTTACAATAACAAAAAATATAAATAATATATGTAAAAATACAAATAATATATATAAAAAGAATAAGGACGTATNGGAAGAGCAAGATGGATATCATTAATAAATAAGAGAAACAAAACTGGTCCAAGATGAGACCCTTGCGGGACTCCCGAGGAAGCCGCAAAGGGACATGATTTAAATGATTTTATTTTGACTATTTGTTTTCTGTCCGAGAGAAAGCTGGATAACCAATTCAAGATAGTTCCGGTGAAACCATAATCCATTAGTTTCCTTAACAGTATTGTGTGATTTACTTTTTCAAAAGCTTTAGAAAAATCAGTATACAGTGAGTCTACTTGGTGTCCAGAGTTTATTGCATCTAAGATGTAATTTTGAAATGTGAGCGGGTTAGTAACAGTTGAACTATTAGAGCATAAACCGTGTTGCTGAGGTATAATAGATTTAATGTCGTTTTTAAGTTTATTACAAATAATAGAATCAAATATCTCGGATTGAATACATTGGTCTGTAATTGAAAACATTAGATCTATCGCCAGCTTTATGTAGCTTTATATTAGCCAAGGAACGCGATATCATATGCGATTTGTATTCTTGTTGTGCATTCTAGTCTATAACGTTTTAAATAGTTTGTTTCTTAGAGAGGTATTTTAAAGACAAGTATTGTTTGTTTTACTTTTAATTGTAAAACAAAGGGGGTGATAAGAGACCATTTCTAGGCGGGATAATTTCAACCTCCGATTGCGTAAAAGGTCGGGCGTGGCCCTCAAGGATTGATTTACGATGCAATAAACAATAATCGTCCTTTTCCGTCGGTCAATTGGGCTAAGATCAAGACAAGACGTCAAAGGAGTCAAACGCGAGTCTTCCTGCAGCGGGTCGAACCCTGGGCCCATTTGGCCGGGTCGCACGTGTCGTTCTGGAATCGTGTCGATAAATATTAAACAATCTCGGCGAGGAGGGAGCTTCGGCCGACGTCCCTTGAATAATTTAGCGGTGTCGTTATTGTTTTACTATGAATTCATTTGTAGCCTATGTTTGGGATAAGAAAGTCCATATTTGAATGTCTTGCCTGTTCCGTACTTCAAGTTAAACGAAACTAAACACGTGTTCCAGGCGATAAAAAAAGATCGAAACAATCGTACTCAATTCAGCGAATCATTTACTTAAAATCAAGGGCGGATCCAGGGTTCATAAGGTTCATCAGGGGGTGGGGGTAAAAAATTTCGATTTTCTTTTTTACACAGGGGACTTAAAAAAGTGCAAATTGAGAGAAAACTACACATCGTTTTTCGTCCGAACTGTAACACAATGTCTCCTCCTTCAAAGGGAAAAACTGAAAAAAAAATCACTTAGTTCAAATGTTCTGATAGTTTAATTTCAAAAAGGCACATCATTTTCATAAATTTTCAAAATGTTTTTCCGTCATAGTCTGTAATGTAAATGTTTTTAGTCACCAACATTAACGAATATTAAAAAAAAATACAAACTTAGACGTTATCACAGCAAGAGATCGAATAAGAAAATAAGAGGAAGAAATCAGGAAAGCACTAGGACATGTCCAATATAAGAATCATGCTACAACAACATGGTAACAAACGAAAAAAAAAGAAAAAAAAAGGTAAAGGTCCAGGGTTCGAATCCAACAATCCAGCAGCCCTGCATTCAAACCCGACATACAAATGGTCTTTTTTTCAAAAACACCTGCATCCTAAGGGTTTTATACGATCTCTGCTGTTGCAAACCCTCGTAAAAAAACTATTTTATACAAAACGTAACATCATAAACATATTGCAATACGATTAAAAAAAAATAGTCAAATGTTTTTGTTTCTTAATAACTGCTGGAGTTAAATTATATTAAATTTGGGCCATTTTTCCCTAGACCACTGAAAATAATGAAAATAAAATAATGGATTATTAGTTAAATATCTAATTTGAAATTATATTTAAGGTATTTAATTTATTATTTTCCCGTGTAACTTCACAATTACTTTTTGGTAACAAGAGGTGAGATTTACGGAAAAAGACGTATGATGGCCACACCATATTTTTTTAATAATCCGTTACAGTTCGTGGTTTTAACCAAGCTCAGGGAAGAGTGACCTGTAATAATTGCCAACATTTGATGCGTTGTATTTTTCTTGCCTACAAAATTTCTACAAAACTTTTCCAAAAAGTTTAGGAATTTTAATATCAAGGGTTGGACCTGATGTTGCAGCCTCCTTTGCAAGTGCGTCTACCGTTTCATTTTGCCATAAACCTGCATGCCCTTTCACCCAACACAATGCCACCCTTTTTCCCATAATTTTTGTCTCAAGCATTTTCCTACGGATTTGGGCAAAAATATAATTTCTGCATTTATATTCTGGGGTAATGTTATTTATCCTTTCTACAATGCTTCGACAGTCTGTGAAGATACAAAATTTAGAATCACCCAATTTTCGTATGTAATCGAGAGCGCTATCTATCACAATTAGTTTTGCTGTATAAACAGACATTGAAGTTGAAAACGAATGTTGTTCCTTTATTGATGTTTAGGGTCAAAAAGGGCATAACCTGTTTTGCCATCGATGGAAGAGCCGTCAGTAAATACGTACACATTTTCCGGATATATCTCGTTAAATGTATATTGTCATTTAATTTAATGTATATTGTTCATATTTGCTAAAGTGTGTGTTTGTCTGCGTGTGACCTCGATTGTAGGTTACTTCATCTATTAATTGTACTGGGGAGAAAAATTGAATATAAATTTATTTATTTGTCAAGTTAGTGAAAGCCCCATAACATTTCAATCCTCTTTTAGGGGTCATAAATATAAAACAGTTAACCCGACTTCTCGAGTGGGAAAATGCGTGGGTAATGCTTTAAAAACGACACGTCTCAGGCTGGATAAAAGGCCGAATTGTAAGAATATTAAAACAGGAAAATTTTTAGATAGAAAATGTTTCGGTTAGTTGATATGTGGTGTAGTAGTATCACAGTCGATCTTCTTTTATTTGCATTATGATGGATAAAGTACTTTCATTTTGGGATGTTTTTTTTTTAATTTCCACATTTGATCATGTGTTTTGGTATTTGAATTAAAGTTTTTTGTTTCTTATTTTCTATTTGCGTTATTTTTTTCCTTCTTTATCGTTATATTATTTATATTGTCCAAAGGTGTAGCGGGACCGATTTCACGTAAGTTTTTTCTTCCAGTTTTCCATTTATGCCTTTTCCTCGTAGATTTTCAATTTAATGGGATGACTTAGTTTTTAAAAAAAAGTCCCTTTCGTTGTCGCATTGCCCTTGAATCGTCACGCGAGCGTGACCGATCCGGGGTAAAAAAAGGTCGTAATGATAACAATCGGCTGGAAGCTGGTACGGTTTGACGACTAACACTAAGGAACATCTGGTCGAGAGGAAATTGGTGAACATCTGCTCGGCTGACGCCCTCCCTTCACATCCTTTTCCTTTGTTTCAGCTGACAGCCTTTAAAAAGTCCATGGTTTTAAGTATTTCAATTTTGCGGCGTGCCTATTTAAAACCCATACCGGAGGAAATCGATAATTCATTTCCTGTTCGCATACTTTACGTAATATTTCATTACAAGGGGTTCTGGAGGATGACAAGCTGAACCCTTCGGACGAATGGTCCTTATATTTTCTCGTGAAGTATAGTTGCGGTTTATTTTTCTGGAGTGGCCGATGTAGGGTTTCCAGAGAGTGACAATTGGAATTTTCTAGGTCTTGACAACAGAGTACAATTCAAACATGACTGTCAGTTCATTTTCTCATAGTGATTTTATTGAATGTGGTTTTCTGTGTGATCAACTTTCTCTTTAAAACGTATGCCCGGTTGACAATTATGCGTGCGAGGGACAGCGTCAGGTTCGACTGTTTTCCTATGTCCCGTTAAGTGCATTAGGCAAACAGTCCTCCGGCGTAAGAGGGTCAGGTGGTCGTCACACGCCGGATTTACAAATGAACCAGACGTCCGTTACCGATGGGTACGCGATGAGAATTGGGCCGGCGGACGAGTCCACCGAGTCGCGGGTCCGGGCAAAGGTCGAGTAAGATCTCGTGCTTTATCGACCGCACCCGGGAGTACGTTGACCTACCAATTCGCCACCCGGGTTCAACCTCGGTCCTGTTTTGCCGTCTTCTCCGACCAAAAATTTAAACAGCGTCGATTGTCCTCAGGGTGAAACACTCGACATTAATAGGCTTCCCTTTAAGGTTGTGTGAGCAATGGCCATGACTCATTTGCTTGTCCGAAAATGCTTACTGGACAAGAAAAAACCCCTAACATCTATCAAAACTTCCCTTGCAGCAATTTATATTAACCCAGGTAGAAAGTACACACGGCTAAAGTAAAAACGAAATTTCCGTCCTGCCAATTACAAATAAACATAAAATAGTAAAATTCGTTCAACCATTTAACCATGAAAGGGAACTAATCAACAAACGTCGTTACAAGTTTACTATTAGGACGTTCATTTTTATTGTTTGGATTTAGTACGTTCCTCATTGAGTAACTTTAACCTCAGTATTTATTTATTGAAAAAAAAAATTAAAATTTCATTTTGGGTTGTGGTATTTTTGTAGTGAGGTCCAGTAGGCGATGAACCTGTCGCTCGATCATTCTGGTGGCTTGTCAGGACATAAGAACCAGGAAACGCATAGAACAACCAATGGAAAATGAGGTACTTATAGATCCCTCTGTGACCAAACCATTATCGTTTGTTTTAACTGTTAAAAGTTTGTTCACCAAGCCAATGAAACAGTCACAAAAGCAGCACCACTAAAAATCAAGGTTACTTAGGGGGATAGGGATGAAAGAGGTGGCCACAAAGCCTACTGTACCTCGACCTGAATAGAACTATTGTGCTCCCCGTTATTTATAACGCACTGGCCAGCTTCAGGTTATTAATCCTCCATAGCTTTCCCAGCGGTTCCTTGGTGTAGGATCTTGTCGTTTTTCTTGTCCTAGTTGCAAGAACCTGCACTTACTTAGACATTCACAGAAAATAAAACGTGTTCTGTTTTCCTGTTCTTGGCAGTATCTGCACAATGGTTCTTCTGTCTGTACTCCTATCCAGTGCATGCTTTCTTAAGTGGCAGGGCCCTGTCAGGAGTCCAACCAGAACCGTGGTTCTTATTTTTAAGAAATGGCTGAACGCGTCTAACGGACTCAGTTACTATTGTTGTATAGACGAGCTACTAGCTAGTATTGTATGTTGACGTTTTCCACATTTCGGCAAACACTGAAACATAAAAACTGGGAAACGCACAGACCAACCTCTGAAAATTAAGAAAGACATAAGAACAAGTATTTGACAAAACACAAAAAATTTGTGCTAGTTTCCGTCTATTAAACGGTTGTTTACCTTCGCCAACCATTAGAACGTATGAAAAGGACATAAAAACTGGGAAACGCACAGACCAACCTCTGAAAATTAAGAAAGACATAAGAACGACTCTTTGACAAAACACAAAAAAATTTTTGCTAGTTTTGTCTATTAAACGGTTGTTTACCTTCGTCAACCATTAGAACGTATGAAAAGGACATAAAAACTGGGAAACGCACAGACCAACCTCTGAAAATTAAGAAAGACATAAGAACGACTCTTTGACAAAACACAAACAAATTTTTGCTAGTTTTGTCTATTAAACGGTTGTTTACCTTCGTCAACCATTAGAACGTATGAAAAGCACATAACAACTGGGAAACGCACAGACCAACCTCTGAAAATTAAGAAATCCATAAGAACAACTCTTTGACAAAACACAAAAAAATTTTTGCTAGTTTGTCTATTAAACGGTTGTTTACCTTCGTCAACCATTAGAACGTATGAAAAGGACATAAAAACTGGAAAACGCACAGACCAACCATTGAAAATTAAGAAATGCATAAGAACGAGTCTATGACAAAACACAAAAAAATTTTTGCTAATTTTGTCTATTAACGGTTGTTTACCTTCGCCAACCATTAGAATGTACGAAAAGGACATAAAAACTGGGAAACGCACAGACCAACCACTGAAAATTAAGAAATGCATAAGAACGAATCTATAACAAAGCACAAACATTTTTTGCTAGTTTTATTTATTAACAGTTGTTTACCTTCGACAACCATTAGAACGTATGGAAAGGACATAAAAACTGGGAAACGCACAGACTAACCTCTAAAAAGAAATGCATATGAACGAGTCTATGACAAAACACAAAAAAATTCTTGTTAATTTTGTCCGTTAAACGCTTGTTAACCTAGTCCAATTATTCGAACCTGTGAAAGGGACCACAAACAGGAAAATGCACAGACCAACTACTGAAATTAACAAATGTCTAAAGTCGACTCACAGACCAAACCATGATATCCGCAATTCGCCAGTCATTATAAGCTATAAAAAGAGGGAAAGCACAGATTAACCACTGAAAATTACGAAATGGATAAGAACGTGTTAACAATAAAAAATTTCGTTAGTTTTGTCTCTTAAACGCCTGTTTAGCTGCTCAACAGTTAGAACCTATTAAAAGGACGTAGAAACAGGAAGACGCACAGATCAACCTTTGAAAGTTAAGAAATGCCTAAAGACGCGTGTGATAGTCGAAGCATTCTCGTAGGATTTGCTTGTTAGATGGCAACTCGCCTTTCACTGACCATTAGAACTTGAAAAAGGACATAAAAAAAGGGAAATGCATCGACCGAAACGCGTTTCACATCCCGAACATGTGACAGTAGGAAAGCCAGGAGATCGGAGATGAATCTTCAGGGTCCAGGGGCAGTTTATGATTTTCCGTGCTAAAATCTTTGGGTAGACGAAGGAGAACAATTTTTGTCTATATGATGCTGATCAGACGTGATGCGTCTTCCAGTATTTACTCGAATGTGTGATCTCAAGGATCAATCCATTATTAACGCGATAGAGAAACTCTTGGTTTGCTCTCAGGTTTGAGGAAATTGATAAAAATTCACGTTTTTTTATATTAACGATCTCGATGTTGGTTAGTTGTTACAGCTCACAATATAATCTTGACCCTCTCGTTCCGTAGTTTTTAAGAATTTCTCGTCCTGCGTATTTTTTAAACTAAAGATATTGTTTTAGGAGTTTTTTTGGAGGGAGAGGAAGACGAGGCGCTGATTTCGGGTCGATGTCCGCAGCAGCCTAATGATGCTGAGCTTTTTCTATTCAAAAGTAACGTACTCAAACGATAAGGCCTAGTTATTAACTATTACTTGAAAGTAGTACTTAAGCCCCCGGACTCCCCACCTGTTCTCTCCACCTGCCGAGTGGCCCTCGAAGACTTCGGACTTCAGTACCTCGTCGGCTCTCGAACGGTCCACTTCGGTTTCCCTCTCCGTTATGGTTGTACGCGTCCGATTATTTATATTTTGAAAATGGGGAAAATTTATTTGGTAAGTTTAATTTATATTTCCGTACACATCTTCCATAGTTTACAGTATTTTTTTAAATTTCTACTCCATGGTTGGTGGGTCTTTTAAAATTATAGAAATGTTGGTATGAAGAACATGTCTCGACAAACTCAACATCCCAATTGAAACCATCAATTGGACATCGGAAATGCCAAACTAGAGCATTTTAAGGCTAAACTTTCCTTCCAACAAAACAACATTCCTTTCCCTTTCAATTCTGTATAGATTTGGAAGATTTGTCTGAAAGTGGGGCTTTTAAATCAAGTCCATGGTACTTTTTTTAAGTCGTACTGTTAAGAGAGTTATAAAAGCCACCTATCTCTTCTAAAAAGATATTTCAACATTTATAATTAACCTTAAGGTTGAAACAATCAGAGGAAGCTTTGAGAAATAGCCGGCTTTTGTTGCTAAATTCCACAAAATAGCATTTTGCTTTTTGCAGGGGAAATTTCACGGAGCGGAATCAGCCAGGAACAAATTGTTTCTTTTATAAAAGTATTTCTTGCGAGAAATTATATAACGAGAGTCAAAGTGTTTTTTTTTACCTGTGTGGTAATTTTCTATACCAAGAGAAACAAAGATGAAAAAAAACCTACAAACTAACTAACCCACAAACCCACAAAAAATTTATATAAGACAATAGACAACAACTTTCTTGATAATTTCCTATAAAAAGGTCATTAAAACGTAAATACTGAGATCAACTTCTGAAGATTGAGAAATACCTAAAAACGCGTCCGGTACTCAAAAACCTTTATATGGTTTTATATGTTAGACGCTTGACCACCTTTGATGACCATTCTGAACCTAAGAAAAGGACCTAAAAACAGATAAATGTTTAGACTAACTATTGAATATGGAGAATGATGAGAATGATTTAAAGACGCGTTTGTGAGACAACCCATTCTTGCTGGTTTTATCTGATCATCATTAATTAGAAATCATAAACTGGGAAACGGCACCAACCAACTACTGAAAATTACGAAATGAAGAACGCGTCTATGACAAAAAACAAAAATATTCTCGTTACTTCTGCCTGTTAAACGCTTGTTCACCTTAGCCAAAAATAGATCCTATGACAAGGACATAGAACAACTTGAAAATGAGAAATACCTACCTACCATTCTCATTGGTTAGGCAAATAAAACGTTTATTCACTTAGTAAATCGTTAGGACCTAAGAAAAGGACCTAAAAACAGGGAAATGCACAGACTAGCTAGTGAAATTGAGAAATAACTACAGACGCGTGTGTGGCAAATCCATTCTTTTGGGTTTTGTCTGTTTGGCAAGCTTCCTCCTTTCGCCAACTATTAAAACCAACAGGACATAAAAACAGAGAAATACATAAACCAACTAATGAAAATAGGGGAATAGGTAAAATCGCTGTTTCTTAGACACTTTTTTTTTATGGTTTTAACTGTTACACGCTTGTCTATTTTTGCTCACCATTAGAACCTATAAAAAAAGACATAAAAACAGAGAAATACACGGACCAACTAATGAAAATAGGAGAATAGGTAAAATCGCTGATTCTTAGAAACTTTTTTTGCTGGTTTTAACTGTCACATGCTTGTACATTTTTGCTCACCATTAGAACCTATAAAAAAAGACATAAAAACAGAGAAATACACAGACCAACTAATGAAAATAGGGGAATAGGTAAAATTCTTATACACTTTTTTTTGTTGGTTTTAACTGTTACACGCACAAAATAAATAAAAGCATTTGTTTGAAAAAAAAAAACTCATTTTATCTGTTAAACGAGTATTTACCATTCATTAGAACCTGTAAAGGCCAAAAAATAGGGAAACGCACTGATCAACCACTGAAATTGACAAAATAAATAAAAGCATTTGTATGGAAAAAAAAACATTCTCGTTATCTATTAAGCGAATATTTTCCATTCATTAGAACCCATGTAAAGGACAAAAAAACGGGGAAACGCCCTGACCAACATTGAAAATTACAAAATGAATAAGAGCATTTGTATGAAAAAAACAAAAAAATATTCTCGTTAGTTGTCTATTAAGCGAGTATTTTCCATTCATTAGAACCCATATAAAGGACAAAAAAAAGGGAAACGCACTTACTAACCACTGAAAACTACAAAACGAATAAAAGCATTTGGATGAAAAAACAAAAAAACATTCTCGTTAGTTGTCTATTAAACGAGTATTTACCATTAATTAGAATCCATGTAAAAGACAAAAAACAGTGAAACGCACTGACCAACCACTGAAAATTACCAGATAAGTAAGAGCACTTATATGAAAAAAAAAAAACCATTCTCGTTAATTTTATCTGTTAAACGCTTGTTCACCTTAGCCACAAATTGAACCTAGGACAAGGACAAACACAGGGAAACGCACAGAACATTAATTGGAAAATAAGGAAATGTATTGGTATGATTGTGACACGAAACCATTCTCATTGGTGTGGTCAATTAAACTTTTGTTCGCTTAGCCAATCATTAGAATCTATGCGAAGGACATAAAATCAGAGAAATAAACAGGTAAAATACTGAAAGTAGGGAAATAACTAAAAACGCGTCCTATAGACGAACATATTTCGCTGATTTTATCTGTTAATCTCTCGTTCCGTTTTGCTAATCATTAGAAACTTTTGAGAAGGACATAAAACCGAGGGGATGCACGGACCAACTATCCGTCTATTATTAAGTAATACAACGAATAAAACTCAACGTCAATGGACAACATTCTTTCTTTTTAAACTAGTGTCATTGTGTATTACAATTAATATAAAATTCTAAACGCCGGTAAGGATTATTTCATAGTTTATCGCTAATAAGGTGTTGCAATAAATAATTAACAATTCGGCATAATCGAGACACAAATGGAATATTAATTAGCGTGTAGGTGGACGTGCAAGCCTGCTTTACTTCCCTACTTTCTTCTTGGACGTTTTGCCATCCTCATTCAGATTGCATAGTCGCACAGAAGTCAGAATGATGAAAGACGAGGGTGATTGTTTATAGTTGTGCTTTTTGGACGGATGCTGGAAACTCATAATGGATCTGGGATTATTTGAATATTTTTGTTGTTTTAACCTAACAAATGAATAATTTGAGTAATTAATCAAAAGCAAAGAGCAAGCGTGTACAAAACAGGTCAAAACAAAACTCTTTTGCCTTAAGGCGTTTTATACCCGATAGGGCATACCGTAAATATCCAAGTTTATTCAAATGAAGCCTCTTTAGTTTCTGTTGTAACTATCGATTGGAAAATATGATTTATTTAGTTTTTTAAAGATTTTTGAAACTCGTGAATATCTTAGAAGTTATTTTACTAATCAAATTAAAATAATATTTCAAATTGTCTCTAAGCTGAGGTAACTTATGGCCTACTGCACCCCTTGGAGTTCCATTTAGCACATCGATTGCTCAACATATGTCTTGCTTACATTAGGCATATTTCAAATGTTATAAAGGTGTATATTTTTTGACCTTTGAACCGCGCCAATACAAAAAGAGACGCTATTCTTCCATTGCCACCACTGAATAGTTATGATCTCGTTATAAATTTTACTCGAAATTTGTGGACCAGTTGGTAAAGTTCAGACTTTTTTATGAATTCAATATAGATTGAAACGTTTTGATTTTGCCCGACGTGAAAACTTATTTCTTTTCCTTAACAAAATAGTGTTTTTTTTTACAAATTTTCTTTGATTGTTTCGTCCCCCGTGCAACTTTAATAATCTGTTATGATTCTCACCACTCCCCACGATAAAGAACATCTCCATAAAATCCCGACACCCGGATATTCTTCTAAAATTACAAGAATATCAAGACTATAATCTAAAAGCATTATTCACATAGCTTTCTTGCCACGACGGCATAATCGAAAACGAAAATGCGGACAAAATGGAAAGAGTGACCTCTGCTGTCACTTTCGGCCGTCTGAGAGGTCTGGAGAAGGTGCTCTCCACGGGAAATAATCTCCTTGCAATAAAAAAAATATATAAAACAGTAGGAATCCTTCAGATCTTCCCGAAAAGAAGAAACCATTCTATCCCGGCTTTGAATTGGTCACTCCCGTCTCACTCATAGTTTCCTCCTCGAAAAAAACCATGTCGAATGTCTCATGTCACAATTTCGGACATCATAATCGATCGTACTCTATACCGCAATGTCAGAACTCAACATAAAAACCATAACGATTATAGTTGAAATGTAATATCCCCTCAATACTGTTTACTTGTTACGATTAGCCCCAAAACCACAGCTATCGAGGCCAAATTGTAGGAAGGTGGTTACATCCTTTATGTATTCCAGCAGCATCCAAATGTTTGTCCCATTGTGCACTTCCTATATGCGCATTTAGCGGGAAGGGAGTTGGTCACAAGTCATAAGATAGGTGGTCTACATAACCTGCAATCTGGCGATATTAATCCTGCATGTGAGACTTCAGGTGGGGACGTATTCAGGACCATCGCAGGAAGGTCACGTCTTCAATTTGGATTTGTACAGTTGCCTCTGTTCTATTACGATTGGTTTTCCTAATGGCTGCAACTTCCTACGGTGCGTACTGCGTTGTTTAACCAGTTCGATATAGAGAGAGATCGTCAGCGTAAAGCTTAGTCTACACTAGGGGCAAAGTGGCGCGTCTTTGTTGGGATCAGCACCACTTTGAAGAAATCAAAGACGTTGGGTCCGAAAATGGTTTAGTAACAACACTGTTGCGCGTCTTTTGGGGGATGCCCTGCAAAAACATGTCACGACTACACTACATAGGCAATTCCCTAGAAAATGTCTCAGGAATTAAGCTGCGGGTGTTTCTGTGTCAATGTTATGATTAATGTCTGTTTCTTAGTGACCTGTTGTCTCATTTGTTGAAATGAGGGTGGTCAGAATGAGGTAGTTTACAAAAACACATTTTTCATATTTTTACAGACGTTTCGAACTTTATTCGGATCATCTACAGGGCATAAAGTGTGGTGCTATTCTTGTGGTGCCATATTGGTTTTGTATGAGTGTTGTGATCCTGGATGTGTTCTAAACTACCTCATCTTTGACCGCTCCTTTACGAATTCACAAGTTATTATTATTTAAAAATAGAAATAAAAGAAATCAAAGCCGTTGGGTCCGAAAATGGTTTAGTAACAACGATGATACACCGCGATCTTTTGGAGACACCAAGATTTTGAAATTTTTTTGCCAATGGTTGCACCGAAGCTGAATCCCGTTTTGATGGGACTCAAAATCTTGTATCACGTAGACCCGCAATACACTCCAGATACAGGGGGACATGTTGCAGGGCTGGATCTCAACACTCCAGAACCAGATTCAAAGGAGATTCAGCCCGCAACAAGGATTCGCAAATTTGAGTCCAAGTATACTAGGCTTAAAGAGCAATTTTTACATTTGGGCGAGGTATTTTGTTAAATTATACAAGGAACAGGATAGGTGGGGCGTAGGTGGCCGCAATGGTTTAGGCGTTGACATGGCGCTCATCATTGTTAGGTGAAGGTTCCGGGTTCGAATCCAGCGACCCTACATGCGAAGCCGACATACTTAAAAATGGCCTTTTTTTAAAAAATCGAAAAAAAAAACAGGATAGGTTGCAGCAATGTCTATTCCTAGCAATATCAGGTTGTCTATTCCTTGCTGGTTGATTCGGTTGGTACCCTTTGTACTGAAATTTGTGGATCACTGGAAAAGTCCAGAAGCATAAGATGTTTATCCGATTTTCATTGATTGTTTGCTCGGTCGGCGTTTGGGGATGAACTACTGATCAACACTGATTACTTGACTGGGTTCGTTTTTTCCCCTGGTTAAGTTGCTTTGTCCTGTGAATCAGTCGAACAAACCATCTTTAACAACTTCTTTCTCTGTCGGTTTTGGTGTAAATAAATGTTTTTATCTTTTTACTCATTTTAACAGTTGGGACTGTATTGTTCGGGGGCCTTCCTTGATATGGCCCAGGCCTTCGATCGAATATGGCACCCGGGCTTGCTGTTCTCGCTCAAGGACATCCTTCCCTCAACCTACTACCTTATCCTTCGAAGCTACCTCACCGGCACTTCCGAGTCATTGAAGGGTCGGCGTCTTCCCCAAACCACCTTCTCCTTGCTCGTGTACTGCAGGGCAGTGTTCTGGCGCCCGTACTGTACCAAGTGTACATAGCAGACCTTCCATCCCATCCTCAAACTACCACCCTAACCTTTGCAGACGATACAAGCAATTCTGATCCAGTAATTTCCGCTAGAAATCTTCAAGAACACCTCACACTACTGGAATCATGGTGTAAAAAAAAGGTCCATCCGCATAACCTTCACCCTCCGCGAAAAGATCCCTCCTCCAGTCTACTTCAGTCAAATACTCCTCCCAACTGCGGACAAGGTGCGGTACTTACGATTTTACATTGACAAACGTCTGACGTGGAATCCTCACACACGACTGAAACGACAAGAAGTTATGAAACGTTACAGAGTACTTCTAGACGTTCTAACCTACCTCACTTAAACAAAACATTACTTTATATCACCCTAGTGAAGCCGATATGGACCTATGGACTGGAAGTGTGGGGTTCAGACAAATATTCCAATATCCTACGCATCCAAAGAGCCCAATCCATAATCCTCAGAAAATCCTTAATGCTACCTTTTAAGTTTCCAACGAAACTACCCATATAACCTAAATATTCCTTTTGTCTAAGATGTAATCCACCCCGTTACCGACAATTTTACACAGACCTCCCAACCACTATAAATCTTCAAATCCAAATCCTCTCATCCCGACGGATTCCTTCCAACCCTCCTCGTCGACTAAAAAGACGATGGCTACGGGATCTTCTATCCAGTGACAACAATTTAATAAAGAATACTTAGGAGTACTACCAGTGGGTAGATTCTACACTCTTGTTTCCTTATTCATACACTGTTACTAGATATCAAAATGAAGGTAGTCGTAATACACAATAAATAAAATAAAAAATCACATTTTAACACTTACATGTCAGTGTTGGGTCTATGTGGTTTGCTATTAATGGCTATGGTTGGAAAGGGTGTATTGAATGATACTTGCGCGTCTTGCTAAGATTTTTTTAAAGGATTTCGTCACTTTATCCACCCGGACGATAAAACTTTCAATTTTTATTATGGGTAAAAGTTGTTTTTGTGCCCAACCTGCGGAGTGGGTGGACGTCAACGGGGAAATAATTTTCGATCAAGACATCAATGAGGGCTTTCTCGTCGGAGACGCGTGTGAGATTCCGTGGTATTATCGGGTCCGAGCTGAGTTCGTGACCAAATCTAAATGTCCTGACATTCTTCGGGGCCGCCTGGCCCGGCTTTTTTCCTCTCCTAGGTACAACGCAAGCCCCGGTGTCGTCTTGGGCAACAATTTTGTAACGCCGGATCACGTACACGATCTTCGAATCCCATACACCATCGTCCCATTCTGTTCTGATATATACAATTCAATTTTTTTTGTGATGTTATCGACGCACGAACGCGTCGTTTCAATTAAGGAAAAAGAAAAGATTCCATGGCTCATAAGCTGGCTGCTTTTGAATCCTTTTCTTCCTCCCTGAAGACGATTGCTCAAGTTGTCACTTTTCTCTGTGGAAATGTCATAACAGTCATTGTAGATCATCATTAAGGCCGATTCAAAAGTGATATGGACTCCATAGATTGACCCTCCTTTAATTATACTACTTCAAAGAAAGTATATATCCTTAAGGAAAATGTCTTAACTAAAAAATCATATTTTTTGTGTTTCAGGACGGTGGTTGGTGCGGCGCCTCTTTTGTAGGAGCGCTCGCAGAAAGGCTTAGCGGTCTCTGCCCCAAGATGCCTGCTGTCAGAGCAAAGCGGGGTTGGTGCGGCTGCTTGCAGGTGCGTACTTAAATTCTGTCATGCTACAATGGGTTGAACTTGGAGAGATATCCGCCTTTGGAATGTTGGTGCCGATGAAAGCTGGGAGTCAAAGGAGCACATTCTCTTCGACTCTTGTGTCCGCGGGGACGTAATCCGCGACTTTCCTTTTTTTCACCGTCCCTCGCCCATGTCCCCTTTCCGGCGCGGGCTTAAGACTGATTTATACAGATCTTTCCCCCGTGGTCAATATTTTATGAGAGATTTATCCTCTTATCACGTTTTTTTACACGTTAACATTGAATAGTGGACGAATTACGTCAAACTTGAGCTTAAAATTAATACTACTACCAATATACTACGCAGGTATATGCATGAAAAGATATTTTAAGAAATACACGTCTGCAGAGAACTTTTGGGGGACAGAAATACCCGTCATTTTGACGTGATTAATCGCGCAACGCTGTCATTAATTTTCTCTCTTTCATGTTTTGTCGATTGCCACAACTCTTTGATTTTATGTGAAGATAGGCGGGTTTTGTAATTTTGACGTTCCTGATGGAAAAATATTGAAAACGAGGGTTAAAGAATGCCTAAAAGAAGTGCTTGCCTGAAGGTTTTTAAAATTAATTTTGTACTACACAAACTCTGTTGCATAATACATAAATTAACGGTGGATGCACACACAGTGAAATAACGTCATCACAATTCATCCTTCGTTTATCAGTACTGGGCCGAAGCATCTAGGAAAATTAAGAATAGGCGATTGCTAAAAAATAAATTATTACACGATTATTGCAAATTGTTTTTCGGTTGGCATACAGGTTCATCCACCCATTTCTCTCACCCTCTTTCTCTCTCTCCTTCTATTTCCCCCTCTCTCTCCCTCTCTCTCCCTCCCTCTCTCTCTCTCTCTCTCTCTCTCTCTNCACCCTCTCTCCCTCTCACCCTCTCTCTCCCTCTCCCCCTCTCTCACCCCTGTCCCTCTCTCTCTCCCTCTCACCATCTCTCTCTCCCTCCCACCCCCTCTCTCACCCTCTCTATCTCTCTCCCTCTCACCCTCTCTCTCTCCCTCATCTCTCTCTCTCATCCTCTCTCTCCCCTTCTCTCTCTTTCACCCTCCCTCCCTCCCTCTCTCTCTCCCTCTCACTATCTCTCTCTATTTCACCCTCCCTCCCTCTCTCTCTCTCTCCCTCCCTCTCACCCTCTCTCTCCCTCTCCCTCCCTCTCACCCTCTCTCTCCCTCTCTATCTCCCTCTCTATCTCTCTCCCTCCCACTCCTTCTCCCTCTCTCTCTCCCTCCCACTCTCTCCATCTCTCTCTCTCACTCTCTTTCACCCTCCCTCCCTCCCTCTCTCTCTCACACCCTCTCTCTCCCCTCTCCCTCTCCCTCTCTACCCCCCTCTCTCCTTCGTCTGTCTTTCTATGTATTCCTTCTATTTATATATATCTTCCTCCTTCTTTACCGTTGAACATTAATCAATCAATCAATCTCGACTTCATTCCTCTCCCTCACCCTCACCCTCTCTCTCTCTCTCCCTCCCTCCCTCTCTCTCTCTCTCTCTCTCTCTCTCTCTCTCTCTCTCTCTCTCTCTCTCTCTCTTTTTCTTTCTCTCTCTCTGAAAAGAAATTGTTTTGTTAGGATTAAGTAGAGTAGAGTCATTGAAATTGGTCCTGAAGACCAAATCTTGAGTTGATCAATCAATCTCTCTATCTCAAACACCAAACGTTTTACGTTGTAAATAAGTGTAACTAGCACCAAGCAAAAAGACATTATTATAATGTTCTGTTCAGGTGAGAAAAAGATTCAAGACAAGAAGAAATTCAAGTAAATTCAGGTGCATTGTACACTTTTTCCTTCTTTTTCTTCTAAAGGGAAAATACCGTCGTTCCCACACAGAATTGGCCATAACAACCGTGGTAGTGAAGTGTTCGAAATGTGTTCTACGGTTTTTATCCAGCTCTCTTTTTGATTGGCCTATTTCTCCTCCGCCAAAAGGTGTAATCATGCATCATTCGATATTGGAAAGCTTATCAAAAGAAGACATTTTTGTGAGAGCTTGACAATCTCTGTAGCGCAATTCCGTTATAGTTACGATTTGAATGATTTTTTTCACGACGATTTTCAATTAAACTGGCCGATTGTGAATAGGCTAAAACGGCGTAAATAAATAGGCAATGCTCGAGACAGGGCATTTGATACGAAAGAAGAAACGACCGGTTTGTATTGCAAAATAGACTGCAAAGACTAGCCATCCAAAATTTATACAAAGCTGTTTATATTTGTTCAATTTATTTCCTTAAATTCTTCCAAGCGATATCGAATTTGGAAAAACCCTACGCAAATTTGACTATTACTTTTCTTACAAGGAATCTTATTTCGCAACTCTGCAATTTTCCAAAGCAAACATTTCGCAATTTCTTACCGATCACCTCCTAAGCCTCACAACAATATCTGTCAGAAATTTTACGCCAAATGATCGATATGCGCGACTCCCTTTTTGTTGGCTATAGCGATTGTCAAAATAGTAGTTTTGTCACGTCCGAAAGACAAAACTAGCGATATCAGGTTGCCAGAGTTAACACAATCTACAATCTCAACGTTCCCTAGGCCTGGCAATAATAGCTGACACTAATTTTGAATCAAATGGATGGTCTGTGCTACTCGAGCGTATGCCCTTTTTATGGGCTCGAACAATCGGCAAAATACCGTTTGATTGACATAAACAGAGAGAGGCTGACCATATTGATCAAGTATAAGCAAGCTTCAAGGGCTCTCGCATTGAAACAGTCAGTATAAATATTTGGGCCTAATTCTCACCCCTAAACTTTCTCTCAATGGTCATCTCAAGCGAAAAACTCATATTGCAAAATATGCATTGAATTCAATTTGGGCTAAATACAAGCTGTTTTTGGCTGTTTGCCGCTCGATTGTGTCCTACGCTTCCCAGGCTTGGGGTTTCCAGCGCTATGAAACAATTGAATCCCTACAGCGCTATTTTATCCGTAAAATTTATCACCTCCCTTCTTTCACGCCTAACTACATGATCTATCTCGAGACCTCAGCTGAACTTTTGTTTCAATTTACATTACATTTACATACTTCCTATGTCTTCAGGGTTCTAAACCTTCCTAACTACCGCCTTCCTAAGAACACAGCGCTGGAAATCATAAAGTACAAAATATCATGGTTCTCTTCCTGGAATAACTTGGCTCAACAATTTCAGCTGAATGACAATTTTTCCCTGGACAATTTCAAAGAGTGGCCACTTTTACACTCAAAATTAATTAACAATATCCGTCTCCTTCATGCTCAAAATTCTTCTAGGTTTTTGCTGCGTAAGGACCTTAATATCAGTCAACCTTTCTTGAACATAGCGCAAAATTCTAAAATTCCGTCCATTAAGCTAGCTCGCTGATTTTTCAAAATTAGGTGCGAGTTACTGTACCTTAATTATAACTCCACAAGAGTCAATAGTTCCGATAGATGCTCTCTCCGCAACAGGCAGGCTCGACAAGATTGTTTTCATTTTCTAGCAGAATGCCCAGTTTTAGCGGAATTCCGAGCACGGCATATAGGCTTGCCCACGTTGACGAGAGAGCACCTATCTTTTTATTAAATAACCCCGAGTCTTTAAATCTGATAAAGTTTGCGATGGAAGCCTGGAACTACAGGAAAATGCTTGTTTTTTATTTCAATTATTAAATCTTTACTGTGTATATATCAGAGACACCCTGGTTATTTATATGTGCATAAATAGATATGTTGTTATTTTAGTTTACTTATATAGTTTTTTTTCTCTTTCTTTTGTTTATTCCTTAAGAAGAAATGTGTTTCTTGTTTATTAAAAATGTATAGTTCGACTCCGGCAGACGGTTGATAGCCATTGCCGTTATGTGCCTTTTGGTTATGTACAATTTTTTTTCTTTTACTCTCTTTTGTTTATCTAATAAAGTACTTTTTCATTCATTCATTCATAAGCAAGCTTCACTTATATCACTATCTAGGCCTCATAACAATTCCTCTATCAAGTCTATTGAGCTCTTATGTATGTTACATATGTTACACACATACATATGTTATATTACTTGGCAAGATACTGTTTAATTACACAACTTGCGAGTGTATATAGACGGCGTCGTTCAGGGATGGTCAATCTATTATTTTGCTAATAATTTTTTAGTATGCAATAATTGTTTAGTTTGTACATTTCCTTATGCGTATGTCCTTTTTATAGGCTATGGAAATTGTAAAAAATACCGTTTGACAGAAACAACTAGCTACTGTAGTACCTTGTTGGTCTGTATCGTCAAGCTCCTATTTGCTAATCATTTTTGATTTTACAATAACAGTTTGGTCTGTGCGTTTCCGAATACCTATGACCTTTTTATGGGCTATTCAATCGGTAAAATAACTTTTGGCTGTCAAAACTATTCAGCATATACTAGTCATGATGGTGGAATTTCTATTTGGGTAATAATTTTTGATTTGGCAATAATTTTTTCGTCTTTGCGTTTTCTCGTTCGTATGTCCTTTTTATGAACTGTTATAATTACCCTTTGACTGAGAAAACTAGCGAGCATGGACAAATCAGTCCGATCAGAAATCTCCACGGCAATATCTGAGAATACTTTTTCACCTGTCTGGTCTATGCGTTTCCTCGTGTTTCAGTCCTTGCTGAAGGTTATATTAATTGGCAAAATACCGTTTTGACTCAAAACTAGCGATTAGCTCGCCATGTTGATCAAACTTGAATTATATCACAAAATTTTAAATTTTTTTGAACCGAATGGTTGGTCTGTTCTTTTCCTCTTGTATACGTCCTTTTAGTAGGTTATATTAATCGGCAAAATTCCGTTTGTCTGTCACAACTAGCGAGCCTGTTTAGATCAGATTGATCAAGGTACGATTGTGCTAATAATTTTTATTTTGCAATGGTATGGTATGGTAGAAAGGATACTGGGAAGCGGGGCTTGTATTCCCCAGGCACTGCAGCCTTCTGGCTTATTGTACCTTCCCA